GTCGCATGTCAGCAGACCCCTCACACGTTTTGCGGCCCCACAGGGAGCTCCGCCGAAGGCGCCAGTGTATGTGTTCGCATGCGGCCCCGCCCCATTTTCGGCAGACCCCTCGCACGTTTCGTGGCCCCACAGGGAGCTCCACCGAAGGCCACAGTGGCTGCGTTCGCATGTGGCCCCACCCCATATCAGCAGACCACTCACACGTTTCGTGGCCCCACAGGAAGCTCCACCGAAGGTTCCAGTGGCTGCGTTCGCATAGTGCCCTCCCCATTTTGGCAGACCCCTCACGCGTTGCGTAACCTCACATGGAGCTCCACCGAAGGCCCCAGTGGCTGCGTTCGCATGCGGCCCCGCCCCATTTCGGCAGACCCCTCATTCGTTTCGTGGGCACATCGGGAGCTCCACCGAAAGCCCTGGGGGCTGCGTTCGCATAGGGCCCCGTCCCATGTCGACAGGCCCCTCACTCGTGCCCCATATGGAGCTCCGCCGAAGGTCCCAGTGGCTGCGTTCGCATGGGGCCCCACCCTTATGTCCGGCAGACCCCTCACACGCTTCGTGGCCCCGCAGGGATCTCCACTGAAGGCCCCAGTGGCTGCGTTCGCATGCGGCCCCGCTCCATTTCGGCAGACCCCTGACACGTTTGGTGGGCTCTTAGGGAGCTCCACGGCGCGTTTGTCGCCGGCTCCCCCCTTGCGGACAGAGTCGCGGGAGTGAGCGCGTGAACGGAGAACGTTGAGCGTGGTTTGACGTTTTTGGCGAAGCGCGTAGGGGCACCGCAGGCTCCTCGCAGTGTTCTTATATATATATATATATGTATAGAGCGGTCATGTTCATAATCGCCTCGTTTTGAGAATGGGTTTGATTTTTTCGTCAGGCTATTGTTAAACAATTCCAGCCGCACGAACCCCAGACCAACTTGAGAAATAATTTGTTTTTGCATGCGTTTTTGAACCCTCACAAAACTTATTTGGATTGTTGTTCGCAGGCCCATCATATTGTGTTGGGTCCTTGTTTTGGACAGTGCGCCAGTGGATCTCCCTGAATACACTAAAGGGGGGGGGGTCCAGAACCCCTCCCCCCCCTGAGGGGTCCGGCCCCCCCCCCCTTCCCCCCTGAAGGGGGAGGGGGGGTCCGAACCTCCCCCCCCCCCCTCCCTTGAAGGTTGGGGGGGGGGTCCGGATACCCCCCCCCCCTTGGCGCTGAAAGGCGGGGGGGGGTCGGACCCCCCCCCGTCCCCCCTTTGCGCCGGAAAGGGAGCCGGGGAGGGGGGGCCTCTCTCCCAGAGAAGGTGTGTAGGGAGTACGGAGTTAGGAGTAGGGAGTGGTGAGTAGTGAGTAGTGAGTTAGTGCGTAGTGAGTAGTGAGTATTGGGTAGTGAGTAGTGGGTAGCGAGTGGCGACTAGGGAGTATGGAGTAGGGAGTGGGGAGTAGTGAGTAGTGAATAGTGAGTAGTGTGTATTGATAAGTGAGTAGTGAGTGGCGAGTAGTGGGTAGTGAGTAGTGAGTAGCGAGTAGTGAGTAGGGAGTAATAAGTAGGGAGTAGGGAGTAATGAGTACTTGTTAGTGAGTAGTGGGAAGTGAGTAGTGGGTGGCGAGTAGTGAGTAGTGAGTAGTGAGTTGTGGGTAGTGCGTAGTGCGTAGTGAGTAGTGAGTAGTGAGTAGTGAGTAGTGAGTAGTGAGTAGTGAGTAGTGAGTAGCGAGTAGGGAGTAGTGAGTAGTGAGTAGTGAGTAGTGAGGACTGAGAAGTACGTAGTGCGTAGTGAGTAGTGAGTAGTGAGTAGTGAGTAGTGATGAATAGAGAGTAGTGGGTAGTGGCAGTGGGTAATGTGTAGTGAGTAGCGAGTAGGGAGTAGCGAGTAGTGAGTAGTGAGGAGCAAGTAGGGCGTAGTGAGTAGTGAGCAGCGAGTAGAGAGTAGCCAGTAGTGAGTAGTGCGTAGTGATTAGTGAGTAACGACTAGGGAGTAGCGAGTAGTTAGTAGGGAGTAGGGAGTAGGGAGTAGTGAGAAGTGAGTAGTAAGAAGTGGGTAGCGAAAGGTGGGTAGTGAGTAGCGATTAGTGAGTAGTGACTAGTGACTAGTGACTAGTGACCTGGGACTAGTGACTAGTGACTAGAGACTATGTAGTGACTAGTGAGTAGGGAGTAGTGAGTAGTGAGTAGCGGGGAGTGAGCAGTGAGTATTAAGTAGCGAGTATGGGAGTAACGAGTAGTGAGTACTGAGTACTGTGTAGTCAGTGTTGTCTAGGGAGTAGCGAGTAGCGAGTAGTGGGTAATGAGTAGTGAATTGTGGGCAATGAGTAGTGGGTTAGTGGGTAGTGGGTAGTGAGTAGTGATTCGTGAGGAGTGAGTAGGGAGTAGTGAGTAGTGAGTATTGAATAGTGGGTAGTGAGGAGTGATTAGTGAGTAGTGGGTAGGGAGGAGGGAGTGGTGAGTAGGTAGTAGTGAGTAGAGTGGGGGGTGGGTAGTGAGGTGCATAGTTAGTAATGAGTTGTGAGTAGTGAGTAGGGGGTAGTGAGAAGTGAGTAGCGAATAGCGAATAGTCAGTAGTGGGTAGTGAGTAATGAGTAGTGAGTATTCTTTGGGGCTGGGGTTAGTGGTCGGGGTTAGGGTTAGGGGTTTGGGTTAGGGTGAGGACTAGGGGGGGGTCGGGTTCCGGAGTCAGGGAGCGGCGTGGCGAAAGGGGGGGAGCGGGGAGCGGGAAGGGGAGGGTTCGGACCCCCCCCTTTCCCCTTTTGAAAGGAGGTTGGGTCCTCGACGACGGGTCGGGGAAAGGGGGGAGGGGGGGGTTCCCGACGACGGATCGGGGAAGGGGGGGAGAGGAGGGGGGGGTCCCCGACGACGGATCGGGGAAGGGGGCAAAATCCACCGTTTCAGGTTCCGGAATCACCTGGAACCGTTCCGGGGTTATTCTGGAAGCGTGACACTGACCGTTTCAGGTTCCAGAATCACCCTGGAACTGTTCCGGGGTGAAAACCCATCTGGACCCATTTTGAGCTCCTCCCAGAAGGCTTCTCTCAGCTCCTTCCTGGGTTCCTGTAAGAAGCCCTTATTGGGCTCCTTACAGAAGCCCCTACTGGGCTACTTGCAGAAGCCCTTACTGGGCTCCTTGCAGAAGCTCTTGTTGGGCTCCTTGCAGAGGCCTGGGCTCCTTACAGAAGCCCACACCAGGCTCCTCACTGGGCTCCTTAGAGAAGCCCTCACTGGGCTCCTTGCAGAAGCCCTCACTGGGCTCCTTACAGAAGCCCTGATTGGGCTCCTCACAGAAGCCCCCAAGAGAGCTGTTTTGCTTTGGGAGAGGGTTCCAGAAGGATTTTCACCCTGGAACGGTTCCGGGGTGAAAATCCATCTGGGACCTCCCGACGCTGCGCGGGAGGGCCCAGCCGCGAAAAACAAGTCCTTCAATAAGAGATTTCATTTGGAAAATTGCCATTTTTGGGAGCTCGGGTACACACACCCCCATCCCCGACAGAGCCGTTTTGCGTCGGGAAAGGGTTCCAGATGGATTTTCACTCTGGAACGGTTCCGGGGTGAAAATCCATCTGGACCTCCCGACGCTGCGCGGCAGAGCCCAGCCGCGAAAAACAAGTCCTTCAATAAGAGATTTCATTTGGAAAATTGCCATTTTTGGGAGCTCGGGTACACACACCCGTCCCCGACAGAGCCGTTTTGCGTCGGGAGAGGGTCCCAGATGGATTTTCACCCTGGAACGGTTCCGGGGTGAAAATCCATTTGGGGCCTCCCGACGCTGCGCGGGAGGGCCCAGCCGCGAAAAAACAACCTCCCAATAAGAGCTGTCATTTGGAAAATGGCCATTTGGCGAGCTCAGGTACACCCCCCCCCCATTCCCGACAGAGCCGTTTTGCGTCGGGAGAGGGTTCCAGATGGATTTTCACCCTGGAACGGTTCCGGGGTGAAAATCCATCTGGAACCTCTCGACGCTGCGCGGGAGGGCCCAGCCGCGAAAAACAAGCTCCCCAATATGAGCTCTCATTTGGAAAATGGCCATGTAGGGGAGCTCGGGTACACCCCTCCCCATGCCCGACAGAGCCGTTTTGCATCGGCAGAGGATTCCAGGTAGATTTTCACCCTGGAACAGTTCCGGGGTGAAAATCCATCTGGGACCTCCCGACGCTGCGCGGAAGAGCCCAGCCGCGAAAAACAAAGCCCCCAGTCAGAGATTTCATGTGGAAAATTGCCATTTTTGGGAGCTCGGGCGCACCCCTCCCATCCCCGACAGAGCGTTTTGCGTCGGGAGAGGGTTCCAAATGGATTTTCACCCTGGAGCGGTTCCGGGGTGAAAATCCATTTGGGACCTCCCGACGCTGCTGCGCGGGAGGGCCCAGCCGCGAAAAACAAGCCCCCCAATAAGAGATTTCATTTGGAAAATTGCCATTTTGGGAGCTCGGGTACTTCCCCCATCCCCGACAGAGCCGTTTTGCGTCGGGAGAGGGTTCCAGATTGATTTTCACACTGGAACGGTTCCGGGGTGAAAATCCATCTGGGGCTTCCCGACGCTGCGCGGCAGGGCCCAGCCGCGAAAAACAAGCCCACCAATAAGAGATTTCATTTGGAAAATTGCCATTTGGGGAGCTTGGGTACACCCCCCCCATCCCCGACAGAGCCGTTTTGCGTCGGGAGAGGGTTCCAG